CACCAATCAGACAGCAAAAAGAAACAGAAGGCATCCAAACTGGCAAGAAGTAAAACTTACACTATTTGCAGATGACATGGTAACATATATATATAGAAAACCTGAAAGCCTCCACCAAAAAACTGCTAGAACTGACAGACAAATTTAGTAAAGTCACAGGTACAAAATCAATATACAGAAATCTGTGCATCTGCACCAATAACAACACAGAAGACAGTAAGATAACTAGGAATATTTTTTCATGTATCTGATGGCCATTTGTATGTCCTGTTTGGAGAAATGCCTGTTCATGTCTTCTGCCCATTTTTGCTTGAATTATTCTTTTGGTGTTGAATTTGATAAACTCTTTATAGATTATGGATACTAGCCCTTTAACTGATAAGACATTTGCAAATATCTTCTCCCATTCTGTGAGTTGTCTTTTGGTTTTGTCGACTGTTTGCTGTGCAAAAGCTTTTTATCTTGATGAAGTCCCAATAGTTCATTTTTGCCTTTGTTTCCCTTGCCTCTGGAGATGTGTCCAGCAAGAAGTTGTTGCGGCCAAGGTCAAAGAGGTTGTTGCCGGTGTTCTCCTCAAGGATTTTGATGGATTCCTGTCTCACATTTAAGTCTTTCATCCATTTTGAGTTTATTTTTGTGTATGGTGTAAGAAAATGGTCCAGTTTCATTCTTCTAAATGTGGTTGTCCAATTTTCTCAACACCATTTATTGAAGAAACTGTCCTTTTTCCACTGGATATTCTTTCCTGTTTTGTCAAAGATTAGTTCGCCATAGAGTTGAGGGTCCATTTCTGGGTTCTCTATTCTGTCCCATTGATCTATGTGCCTGTTTTTGTGCCAGTACCATACTGTCTTGAGGATTACATACTGTCTTGATGATTACAGCTTTGTAATAGAGCTTGAAGTCCGGAAATCTGATGCCACCAGCTTTAGTTTTCTCTTTCAACATTCTTGTGGCTATTCGGGGTCATTTCTGGTTCCATACAAATTTTAGGATTATTTGTTCCAGCTCTGTGAAAAAAAGTTGATAGTATTTTGATAGGGATTGCATTGAATGTATTGACTGCTTGAGGTAACACAGACATTTTAACAGTATTTGCTCTTCCAATCCATGAGAATGGAACATTTTTCCATTTCTTTGTGTCTTCCTCAATTTCTTTCATGAGTGTTCTATAGGTTTTTGAGTACAGATCCTTTGCCTCTTTGGTTAGGTTTATTCCTAGGTATCATATAGTTTTTGGTGCAATTGTAAATGGGATCAACTTCTTAATTTCTCTTTCTTCTGTCTCATTGTTAGTGTATAGAAATGCAACTGATTTCTGTGCATTGATTTTATATTCTGCCACTTTGCTGAATTCCTGTATGAGTTCTAGCAATTTTGGGTTAGGGTCTTTTGGGTTTTCCACGTAGTGTATGCTGTCATCACGAAAAAATGCTCGATATGGCTCGGCATTGGGGAAATACAAATCAAAACCACAATGAGATACCACCGCACACCAGTTGGAATGGCTCAAATGAACAACTCAGGAAACAACAGATATGGTGAGGATGTGGAGAAAGGGGAACCATCTTACACTGTTGGTGGGAATACAAGCTGGTGCAGCCACTCTGGAAAACACTATGGAAGTTCCTCAAAAAGTTGAAAATAGAGCTACCCTATGACCTAGCAATTGCACTACTAGGTATCTACCACAAAGATACAAATGTAGTGATCCGAAGGGGCACCTACACCCCAATGTTCATAGCAGCAATGTCCACAACAGCCAAACTATGGAAAGAGCCCAGATGTCCATCAACAGAAGAATAGATGAAGAAGAGGTGGTATATATATACAATGGAATACTACCCAGTCATCAAAAAAGAAATGAAATCTTGCCATTTGCAATGGCGTGGACGGAACTAGAGGGTATTATGCTAAACTAAGTCAATCAGAGAAAGACAATTATCATATGATCTCACTGGTGTGTGGAATTTAAGAAACAAAACAGAGGACCATAGGCAAAGGAAGGGAAAAATAAAACAAGACAAAATCAGAGAGGGAGACAAACCATAAGAGACTCTTAATCATAGGAAATAAACTGAAGGTTGCTGGAGGAGGGTGGGAGGATGGAGTAACTGGGTGATGGACATTAAGGAGGGCATGTGATAAAATGAGCACTGGGCATTATATAAGACTGATGAATCACTGAACTCTACCTCTGAAACTAACAATACACTATATGTTACTTAATTGAATTTAGATTAAAAAAAATATACCTAGGAATAACTCTAATTAAAGAGGTGAAAGACCTTTACTCTGAAAACTATTAAAACACTGACGAGAGAAATTAAAGATGAAAGAAGGAAATAGAAAGACATTCCATGCTCATGGACTGAAAGAACAAATATTGTTAAAATGTCCATACTACCCAAAACAATCTACATTTAACGCAATTCCTATCAAAACGCCAACAGCATTTTTCAGAGCTAAAACAAAACATCTTAAAATTTTCATGGAACCACAAAAGACCCTAAATATCCAAAGCAGTCAAAAAAAGCAAAGCAAAGCTGGAGGCCTCACAATTCCGGACTTCAAGTTATAAAGCTGCAGTGATCAACACAGTACTGACACAAAATCAGATACACAGATCAATGGAAGTGAGCAGAAATGAACCTACAACTATTTGGTCAATTAATATTCAATAAAGAAGGAACGAATATCCAGTAGAAAAAAAGAGTGTTTTCAACAAATGGTGTTGGGAAAACTGGACAGCAACATGCAAGAGAATGAAACTGGACCACTTTCTTACACCAAACACAAAAATAAATTGTAAATGGATTAAAGACCTAATTGTGAGAGACAGGAAACCATGAAAATCCTAGGAAGAATACAGGCAGTAACTTCTTTGACATTGGCCATAGAAACTTCTTTCTAGATATGTCTCCCCAGGCAAGGGAAACAATGGCAAAAATAAACTATTAGGACTTCATCAAAATAAAAAGCTTCTGCACAGTGAAGGAAACAATCAACAAAACTGAAAGGCAACCTATGGGATGGGAGATGATATCTGCAAATGACATATCTGATAAAGGGTTATTATCCAAAATATATAAAGAACTTATAAAAGTCAACACTCAATAAACAAGCCAATTAAAACAAGCCAATTAAAAAGAATATATGAATAGATATTTTTCCATGAAGATATACAGATGGCCAACAGACACTTCAATAGATGCTTAACAGCACTCATCATTAGGGGAATACAAATCAAAACTACCATACCTTTCAGAATGGCTAAAATTAGTAACATAAGAAACAGGTGTTAGTGAGGATGTGGAGAAAGGGGAACCCTCTTGCACTGTTGGTGGTAATGGAAACATGTGCAGCCTTTTGGAAAGCAGTATGGAATTTCCTCAAATAGTTAAAAATAGAATTACCCTACAATCCATCAATTCTACTTCTAGGAATTTACCCAAGGAATACAAAAATAGTAATTCATAGGGATACATGCATCCCAATGTTATAGCAGCATTATCTACAGTAGCCAAACTATGGAAACAGTTCAAGTATCCGTCAACTGATAAATGGATAAAGATGTGATATATATATATATAAAAAACAGAGTATGACTCAACCTTAAAAAAGAATGAAATCTTGCCATTTGCCATTTGCAAGAACATGGATGGAACTAGAGAGTATTATGCTTAGTGAAGTAAGTTAGAGACAGACAAATACCATGTGATTTTACTCATATGTGGAATTTAAGAATCAAAACAAATGAGCAAAGGGGAAAAAAGAGACAGAGTGTCAAATCAAGAAACAGCCTCTTAACTACAGAGAACAAACTGATGGTTACCAGAGGGAAGGTGAGTGGGGAGATGGGTTAAATAGATAATGGGGATTAAGAAGTGCATTTGTTGTACTGAGCACTGGGTGTTGTATGAAACTGTTGAGTCACTAAATTGTACACCTGAAACTAATATTTACTATATGTTAACTACCCGGAATTTAAATTTAAAAAAATCTTTTAAAAAATAAAGTTATCTAAAAGCTGACAAACAAAATGATAAACTATAATTTTAATAATAGCTGTATATTTTTGTATTTTATTTTAAATATCATACAGAAAATTGATCTATAGTTCTATCAATTTTAATACATGTATAGAATCCTGTAACCACCAGTACAATCAGGATATGGAAGAGTTCTATCACTGTTAAAAAAAAAATCTTATGTTACCTCCTTATAGTCACACCTTCCCACTCTTAACTCCTGGGAACTACTGACCTGTTTTTTTTGTTGTTGTTGTTGTTACTATAGTTTTGTCTTTTTGAGAAAGTTATATGACTAGAATCACAGAATATATAACTCTTTTAGACTGGCTTCTTTATGTCAGATTCATCAAGATTGTTGCATGTGTCAATGGTTTATTCCTTTTATTCGTGAGTATAATTCCTTTGTTTGGATGTGCCACAGTTTAATTTACTCCTGAAAGACATTTAGGTTGTTTCCAGCTTTTGGTAATTACAGCGTTACTACAAACATTTATGTACAGATTTTTCATTTTTCCAGGGTAAATATCCAGGAGTGCGATTACTTGATCTCATGATAAGAGCATGTTTAACTTTATAAGAGAAACTGTCAAATTGTTTTCTAGAATGGCTGTACCATTTTGTACTCCCACCAGCAGTGTATGAGAGTTTCACTTGCTCTACATTCTTGACTATACTTGGTATGGTCAGTCTTTTTAATTTTAGATATTCTAATACATGCGTAGTAATATGTCACTGTGATTTTCATTTGTATTTACCTAATAACTAATGATGTTAAACATCTTGAAATTGCTCTATTTTTTAAAGGACAGTGTTTATAAAAGTAAACATGCTGTAACACAGAATCTGAAAATCTTCGTAGTTCCTTATCCTAACAATATTCAATAAAGGATATGAGGTTTTCCCATGATAGTTCAATTCAGAACATAATGGCATTGAAAGAAAAAAATGTATTTTTTTAAACCCTACCTTTTCTTGCTGAAACGAAGCCTGCCAATCCTGCAACTGTAATCACTCCAAGTTTTGGAAGAAAATCTCGAGGTGGATTCTTCAGATAGATATATGCATCTTTTAAGAAATAAATTAAAAATTAATATAAATGACTTACTAAAATTAGGCATTCTATATATGATGCAGAAATGCTAAAGAGATTTCTAAGACAGAAAATGGTTTAAACACTCTTCAAAAAAAAAAAAAGCTACAAAAATAATGATTTGAGCAGCAAATGAAAAAGCTAGTTAAAATAGTTACTTGCTACAAAATAAAATCTTCCTTCCATAGCTGATTTAATAATTGTTTTCTTAATACAGGCAACTATTACTCTTTAATGAAATATGATGCTAGAGTTCACACCTTAGCTTGGATTACTATAAAATAAATGCTTGACTGTGTATGTACTTATCTCTCTAATAGAAATGCTTCTGGACTTACTTCTTCAAACTTTGATAGGATCCAGTAGTAACAGAAATACTTTATTAAGGAACTTTGAATAATTGACAAGGGATACATGTAGCTTGTAGGCCCTGCTTGCCATCACTCCCCAATACCCACAGCAGCCATTGCTCTTGATTAAAACCAGTGATCAAGAGAAGTGAGCCTAGACCAAAAGTAGATGAAGAGCAGGCACAAGTCTAGATTTCTCGGCTTTTTATATATTTAAATTATTTCTGTTTCCAGACAATCCAAAAAAACAGACTCTTCTATCACCGTTAATTATTTAATGGCAATCACTTATTTAATCATATTCCTCAAGATTGATGAGGAATACAATTTGGAATTAATCCCTACAAACCCTAAGTAATAATACATTTACAGGTCATCAACATCATGGAGACATTTAAAATTTTAGCTGATCTTTCTGTCTCCCATACACATTTATTTTAACAACTGGCATAGGCCAAGAATATTAGGAAGATATATCTACTGTCAAATACCATTATCAAAATAAAGAATCAAATACAATTGCTTTCCAACATTAGCTCAAATATTCTAGAGTAACTGATTGGTATTAGAGTTTCCTAGCAATAGATAGCAAAATTCTACAGATTTTAACAGCAAATAGCACCTATTTAAACTAACTGATAACAATGTAGACATGTTTCCAATTTATGCTTTGAGTATATAATACAGGCTTTGCAGCTAAAACAGACCTCAGCTTGAGTCCAGGTGCTGCCACTTACTAGTTATGTGACCTTGGCAACCTACTTTACCTTTCTAAACCTCAGTTTCCTTATCTGTAAAAAGGAAATAATTATAGGGGTACCTGGTTGGCTCAGTCAGTTGGGTGTCTGACTCTTGGTTTCCACTTGGGTCATGATCTCAGGGTCGTGAGATCGAGCCCCGTGTCGGGCTCTGTGCTCAGCATGAAGTCTGCTGTCCCTCTCCCTCTGCCTCTCCCCTGCTTCTGCTCACACTCAGACTCGCACTCTCTCTCTCTCAAATAAATAAATAAAATCTTGAAGAAAAGGGGAATAATTATAATACCAACACTCATAGAATTGGTATAGAAATTAAATTAGATAAATTGTGTAAAATGCTTACCATAGTGCCTTAGCATACAGTAATTGCTTAATAAATGATAGGTACTATTACTTTGGTATTGTTATCATAAAGCGCTATACAGAGTATCTTCTCAGTTGGTAAAACATGATAATGAATAACTTACCACCTTTAAACCTTGCAAGTTAAAAAGACGATAGAACATTTCTAATTATGGATGGTTCACTCACCTACCTTTTCCAAATTGTACTGTATCCATTATTCCATTTTTCACAAACACATAAACACCCTAAGCAAAAAGAAAAAAAAAGGACATCTGCATTTTTGAAGATTTTGATAATTAAATCAAATATTCCACATTAATCAATATTAAAATGTTGACTCAGCATTGCACTCAACTCTAAATCTAACTTTCCCATTTATTCACATGAGAATACTCGAACTTAGCTTCATTTCTTGCTTTTCATTCTGTTTAACATGGATAATACTTGTTTACTATTTTCCTCATATAAACAAGTAATGCCTATAAGTAGTCAGAGCATCTCACAGATAATTTATTGCAGAAATACAAAGATTTATCATCTTATTTTATAAAGGTTTAGAAAAATGAATGGAATTTAAATAAATCACGGATAGAGGTATTTGCTTAGAAGCAACAACTGATTAATAAATATGTGGTAGCAACACCATAATGATTTGTGAAGAAAGTAGTAACAACAAACCTAAAGAAAGTACTTCATCCTCTTTTTCTTAGTGTGCATTAGAATGGCAAAAAACCCTCAATAAGACATTTATCTCAGGATAGAAATCATCCTACACACACTAGTGTTTATATTATTTTTACATAGGAATATAAATTCTCTACAAATCAAGATTATATTAACCCATAGAAGTGATTAAAGTTTTAAATCAAATTTGCTCTTTTACCTATTTCTAACTAATTTATTTTAATGCAAGAAATATGGTTACATTCATTTACTGAGTGATAGGTACCATCTCAATTACATCAGAAGAAAAATGAAGGCAGAGAATGATTTACCCATAGTCATGCTGTACTCTATTGAAGAAACCAGAAAACATAACTGAAATATATGGTCTATATCTCTGAACTAGCTGCTATGAAATCATGGTATAAAAACAAAAAGGATTTTTAAAGCAAAGAACATAGAAGTAGTTATATTACACAGTAAAGAAATAAGTCATTACTATTGTGATATCTCGGTATTAGTAACCTTGTTTCAGATATTTTCATGATGATCAGAGATGTAGAGGTTCATCCCTTCATCATGGTTTCAAGCTGTATAAACCAGCACAGACCTTAACTGTCACTGAGTTACTTCTCTTTAAAGACTCTCTTGAGAAAACCTCACCTTTGAAGTTATAATACCTATTGACTGGTTGATTGAAAATCATGTAGCTGTTGAGGAAGAAAACTAGTCACTTCTTTTGGGAAGTCTTCCTTAGCTTGTTTAGGAATTCACTTTTACCACTGTGGCTCACTGCTACCTAAATTTGAAAACACTAAGGAGAGGAGGAGAAACTGAATATGCCCTGCAAGATTCTAAGTTTAATGAAGAATGCAATTTGACTCAGAAGTAATTTTTAAAGAATAGATTATATTTTTAGGGGAAAATCAGAAAAAGTTATTTACATTGAAGATGAAATGCATTCAAAGTGTCCTTCTTCAACCTATTCACTTTAGCATATTAACAGAATAAAAGTTCTTTTAGTCTTAAATTGGGTGATAGTAACAATAGCAATTTAAGGATCTTTCAGGAACAATTTACCTCACTGAAAACAAATTTGAGAACACTATGGAAAATTAGGTCTCAGGAGGCTTAAGTATGAATCACCCAGCTGTTGGTATATAGCGTTAGGGGCATGATTCAAACCCTAATTAGTTAATATATTCTCCTCTGAGATCAAACTATTAAGAGTGTATAATACAACTAATACTATTAGAGTTGTTTGACAGACACAAATTTTAAAAAAATAACACCATGTATTCATCAGATGTTTTAAATATCATCTGGAATGACCAGAATTCACATTTAGTGTTTTATAAAATCATTAGAATCTTTTTTGAAAAAAGAATGGATTAGAAACAAAAAAGACAAAGGTTTACAATTGGATAGGTTATATCTGAGAAAAAGTTGTGTGGTTATTAGGTCAGAATGATGAAACTGACATTGGAAATGTTGATGCTAACACACCTATGTTGTTGTGAGGATAATGAAATATCAATATTTTATCAGCTTACTCCATCACTCTGCTGCTAGATAATGCTGACTTAAAGCTAAGTATTAAAGTCAGATGAATTCTATTTTTCCCAATAGCTGACTATATTCAGAATGGTCTTATGAGCTAAACCCAACTAGTTAACATTTTCCTTAGCCAAGTAAGGAACAATTGAGAAATAATTTCAGAACTTCTTGTAAGTAGCCAAACAACTATACATGAAAAATAACATAAATGCTTGCTCAACTATCTTAATCTATGTAGTAGTGGTACGGTAGATTAAATATTATTAAATATGGCCACAATTCTTTGCTGCTACTCATAATAAGAGGTGGCATCTAATTTCACTCCCTTTAAAACTGGGTTGGCCTTTGTGACTTAAAAATAGAATGCTGTAGAAGTAACTTTCTTGGACATCTGAAGATAAATAAGCAGCTTAGTAAATTCTGCCAAGGGCCTCTTGTAAGAGCCTCGAACTGCCTGTGTAAGTTATCTGACTATGCTGAGATCACCATGCCTGATAGGCCACATGTAGGTGCTTTAGTCAACATTCCTAGCTGAGCCTAGCCTTCTAGCTATCTGTGACAAGGTACTAAAGATGAGAATGAAACTGTCTTAGGGCCTCTAGATCAACCCATTCACCTGATGAACGTCACTGAGTAACCTCTGTCAATACCAAATGCAACAGAAGAATCACCTGTCTGAACAAATCAGAAACCTCCAACATTAAATCACTGTTAGAACTTACTTACCTTGCACCAGCCAATATAATGACCAGTTGTAGTGCGGATGGATGCAAAGCCCATTTGTAAACGACCAGGCTGTTCTTCAACATATTTAGACTGCAGAGGTGGTGCAGTATATATGGGGAGCTAGAGGCAAAAAAAAGTTCATGTTAAAAATATGAAACAGCTGGAATTCCTTTTTCAGTAAAACTGAAGAGAAGTCATCAACCTTCCTGCTAAAAGCAACTAAAAAATGCTGATAAAATATTTTTAAAAAAATTTTAAATGGGAGAAATGATCCAGTAAGCTCTTATAAAGACTGTTCAGAAGACTAGACTAAAAAACAACAGAAATGCAGAGATAAACAATAAAGTCAGCTTTTACCTTGTAATCATTTGCTTTAAAATAGGATGGTTCAAGAGTATGGAATCAGGAAACAAAACCTAGAAAAAGCTTAAGGTGGGCAACCTTAGTGAGGACCCTATTAGTTGGTATCTCAAAGTTTTACATCCTCAACTTAAGAGTTAACTAGAAATAAACAGTTCACTCCAAAGAACTGTTAGGAAAATTGACTGTCTCAAAGACTGGGCACCAAGTAGAGAGGAAAGAAGTATTTCCATTGGCAAACACAAGTGATAGCTCACATAACCTGCAGAATAAAACTAACTGGATAATATGAGAAATCTCAAACAAGAATACATTTAAAGTACTCCCAAGCTAGTAGCCCCCACATATACTTGGCAGAAACAAAATAAATATCTCCCCCCGGAGGAAGCTACCAAGATGTCAAAGAATTACAACAGATAAAGTTCCAAGAAATATGAGCCCATAATTAAAAAAAAAAAAAAAAAAAAGGAAAAGTTTGCAGGAAAAGAAAGTTAAAAAACACAAGGAAGTATCTGGACAAGACAAAGCAGAAACAACAAACAGACTCTGATCCACAGAGAATGTATATGTTAGAATATATAATATCAAATACATTTATTTTTGTTTTTAAAGAAATAAACGAAGGACCTATGGGTTAAGAGGAAGAGACTACAAAATTTACCAAAACTAATGAAAACAGAGAACTTCTGGACTGGAAATTAAAAATGTAAATAAAGATCTCAGTTGGGAGGCTGGGAAGATGACCAAGTAGAAGGACCCTAAGTTTGCTTGGTCCCACAGATACAACTAAACAACACTGATGTAAGTGTAAAATAACCCAAAAAATGATGCAAACACTGGCAGAACAAATTCCATGAGTAAGGAGGAGAAGAGACCACAACAAAAAGGGTAGGATGGGCAGAGACATGGTGGGGAGCTAAAAGGGCCCTGGGCATCCAGTCAAGAGGGAGCCTAGGGGGCAGAGAAGGGCAAGAAAAAAAAAAAAAAGACTATCACAGTGGGGAGCTTCCATGGGGAAAACAAACCCTCAAAACATTTGGTTTTGAAAGCAAGAGGGGTCAAATTTTGTGAGTTTTTAAACCAGAGGGACTTAAAGCTTGGAGTGTTAAAAATCAGTCTTGGCTCCTGGAGACCCCTGAGAGCATTAGGAAGCTGAGTCCTACCCTTAAAGAGACAGCACTAGAAGCAGCCTGCTGAGATTTGAGTGTAGAAGCAGCAGTGTGGAAAATGCCTGGTGCATACAGGAAGGAGAGTTCTTTACTCATCTCAGAACACATCCCATATAGGCAGGGATCCCAGGGGGCCCCTTCCAGGAATAAAGGAGCTGGCAGGTGACATTTTCCTCCCCTGCCTCTTAGCATAAACACAAGGCCACCTGAAGGAACCAGTGCAACGCTGACACTCACTGCTTTCTTACACCAAGCCCTCCGCCCTGTGATTTGGCAGTCATGCTTGCCTCAGTCCCAGAACAGTGGTCCCCTCCCCCAGAAGAACATCATAAACCTCACCAATAATGCATCCCCTGACCCGCACATTTTGCAGGGCCTTAGTCCTGGAAGTAGTGGCTGATCACCGCCTGAGGACTATGTGCACACATTGCTAAAACTATGCCCCCTAACCATGCCTGCTTTTTGAACCAATCTCATACAGCACCAGTCTCAGAACCCACCAGTACCACCTTGATAAAAGTGGGCAGCCTGCCCACTACTTTCAAGAGCAGGAGACACAGCTGACTTTCCTAATACACAAAAACAGAGAGTTAGACAAAATGAAAACTCAAGAGAAATATGTCCCAAATGAAAGAACAGGACTAAACTACATCAAGAGAACTAAGTGAAACAGATACAAGTAGAATGCTAGATATAGAACTTAAAGTAATTGTAATAAAGATATGCACTAGATTTGAGAAGAGAGCGGATATCAGTGAAAAGCTTAACAAATAGACAAATATGAACCAGAGCTGAAGAACACAATGCATGAAATGAAAAATAAACTTGATGTAATTAATAGCAGGCTAGAGGAAGCAGAGAAACAAATTAATGAACTGGAAGACAGAGTAATGAAAAGTAATCAAACTAAGCCATTGCGAAAAGAAATATGCAAAATAAGGATAGACTTAGGAAACTCAGTGACTCCAACAAATTCATTATATACACATTATATGGACCTGAGAAGAAAAAGGGGACAGAAAAGTGTTTTGAAGAAATAATAGCTGAAAAATTCCCTAATCTGGGGAAGGAAACATATATCCAGATCCAAAAGGCACAAATATCCCCCAAAAATTCATCCCAAGGAGGTCCACACCCAAAACACATAATGGGGGGAGGGAAGATGATGGAGGAGTAGGGCACCCTGTTCCAACCAGTCCCCAGAATTGAGCTGGGCATCTACGAGGCCATTCTGAACACCGAGGATATCAGCTTGAGATACAGGAAGACAGATGTGGCTCTCTACAAACAGAGTATTACAGACGGTTGGTTTCGATGTAAGAAGCGGGGAGCTGTGATTCTGTGGGCAGATATCAGAGGATAAATGGAACAGGGAGGGAGTCTGCGGTGGGGATCCTACACTGCCGGTGAGTGAAAGCCTCATGCACTGGGGACGGGGAACAGACTCGCAGACCAGTAGCAACGGGAAAAGGACTTTAGGGCAGCCCCCAGACGGAAACCTGGAGCGGCGGGGCTGAGCGTGTAAACTTGGGGGGGGGGGGGGGGGGGGGGGGGGGGGGGGGGCTGGCAGTTTTAGAAGAACGAAAAGCAGAGATGTGCCCAAACCTGAAGGCGAGGACTGGGAATGCTCCTGAGGGGTACATAACCCAGGACTGCAGTTTATAGCAGCACCGACAGAAACAGAGATAGTGTGGCCTGGAGAGCTCAGTGATGCATAGAACAGACTGCAATCTCTTTGCTCTGAGGCAGAGAGGTGGAAACAGTCTCTTCTGCTCTGACTCTCGGAAGAGACGCAGACGCCAGGGAAAGCTGCCAGAGAACAAAAGTCCCCCAAAACTGGTGTTCACTAGGCCCAACCCTGCCACAGGGGTCACGGCAACTCTGCCCAAAAAGGGTAGCCTGAGTAACAGCATGGTAGGCCCCTCCCCCAGAAGACAAGTGGGAAAACAAGAGGCCAGCAACCCTAAGGTCCCTAGAAAACAGGTGCATCTTGCTTGGGTTCTGATCAATAATTTGGACACTGTACATTCCCTCAACCACCCCTCAACAGAATGACTAGGAGGAGGAACCCCCAAAATAGGAAAGACTCAGAGATTATGACTTATGCCACAGATTTACAAATGGATTCAGGTATAACCAAGATGTCGGATATGGAATTCAGGCTAGCAATTGTGAAGACAATAGCTAGAATGGAGAAATCAATTAATGGCAACATAGAGTCTCTAAGGGCAGAAATGAAAGCTGAATTGGCAGAACTTAAAAAGGCTATCAGTGAGATCCAATCTAATTTAGATAATCTAACAGCTAGGGTAAGTGAGGCAGAACAAATTAGTGACCTAGAAGACCAAATAATAGACAGAAAGGGAAAAGAGGAGGCCAGGGAAAAACAACTCAGAAAACATGAAAATAGAATCAGAGAAATAAGTGACACCATGAAACGTTCCAATGTCAGAATTACTGGAATCCCTGAAGGGGTGGAGACAGTGAGGACTAGAAGATATATTTGAGCAAATCGTAGCTGAGAACTTCCCTAATCTGGAGAATGAAACAAACATTCATATCCTAGAGGCAGACAGGAACCCTCCCAAGATCAAGGAAAACAGGCCAATGCCCCAGCATGTAATAGTAATACTCGCAAATCTTAGAACCAAGAAAACCATCTTAAGGGCAGTTAGGGGGAAGAGATTCCTTATGTACAGACGGAAGAATATCAGAATAATATCAGACCTATCCACAGAGACCTGGCAAGCCAGAAAGGCCCGGCAAGACATATTCAGGGTACTAAACGAGAAGAACATGCAGCCAAGAATACATTATCTGGCAAGGCTGTCATTTAGAATGGATGGAGAGATGCAGAGCTTCCACGACCAGCAGAAACCGAAAGAATATGTGACCACTAAGCCGGCCCCGCAAGAAATATTAAGGGGGGTTTATAAAAGGAGAAAGATCCCAAGAGTGATATAGAAAAGAAATTTACAGGGACAATCTATAAAAACAACATCTTCACAGGCAACATGATGACAATTAATTCATATCTTACAATAATCACTCTCAATGGGAACGGCCTAAATGCTCCCATAAAAGGGCACAAGGTTGCAGACTGGATAAAAAGACAGGAACCATCCATATGCTGTGTACAAAAGACTCAATGTGAACCTAAAGACATATCCAGACTGAAAGTGAAGGGGTGGAGATCCATCTTCCATGCCAACGGACCTCACAAGAAAGCTAGGGTAGCAATTCTTATATCAGACAAATTAGATTTTAAACTAAAGACTAGAGACAAAGAAGGACACTATATCATTCTTAAAAGGTCTATCCAAAAGAAGATCTATCTAACAGTTGTAAATATCTACGCCCCCAACATGGGAGCAGCCATCTACATAAGCCAACTGTTAACCAAAATAAAGAGTCATATTGATGATAATAAATTAATTGTAGGAGACCTCAATACTCCACTCTCAACAATAGACAGATCATCTAAGCAGAAAATCAACAAGGAAACAAGAGCTTTGAATGACACACTCGACCAGATGGACCTCATTATACAGAACATTCCACCCTAAAACAACAGAATACTCATTCTGCTCG